CGCCTCTTACGACAAACCCGACTTGTAGATATTGTTATAAAGTGAGTGAGTGAATCAGCTTTTAGCAACATTCCAGCAGACTTCTTCGATAGTATGAAGGTACTCCACGTGAGAATATGAAGGTATCAAAACGAAAACGAAAACAAAACTTATATGTGTAGGGATACTCTCCCATAAATGTGACATTCTTAGGTAATCTGTGTTTAACATACTTGATTTCAAATCATACAACCTATATGACTTATATTCAGTGCAAAGCAGAGAACAATAACAAATATGTATATATGTATAATATGCATCGTACATAGCCATGATAACTGTATACACAAATATAACTAACGTGCTTAGAATCCGACACTGTACTCAGTTGCTGAAGAACTCAATAACTAACATTCTGGGTTGACTATCAATGCGGCCTAAAATCACAGTCTTGTTTAAAAAACCCCGACAACCTTTGCCTTCTTAGTGAAGAACTTTTGGTTGTTGGTTGTACGCTGCACTCAGCACTATTCCAGCTATAAGAGTGTGGTGCATAAATAATCGAGTTTGCACCAGACAATCCAGTGATCAACAGCATGAGCATCGTTCTGCGCAACTGGAATACGATGTCATGTGTCAACCAAGTCAGCGAGTCTGACCACCCGACCCCGTTAGTCAGCTCTTAAGACAAGCATGGGTTGCTGAAGATCAATTCTGATCCTGAAACATTCACGGGTTCATTCAGAACTATTGCGTTGATTTGTAACGTTAAGGTAGAGAACATCAGTCTCGATGGTCCAGCAAGCTAAACAATGGTGTGTAACGTAAAGGTAGAGAACATCAATCTCGTTGGTCCAGCAAGCTAAACAATGGTGTGTAAACGTTTGTTTCGGATTCAATATTATTCTTCGGTGTCGCTGAAAGGCGTTGTTACAGTTTATTGACTCCACCAAAACAATACCTGTGACTGTGAGGGCGATCGAAAACACACCCATTGAATAAAGTGACGATGCATGCAACTACCACTGAATGAGACCTTTATCAATTTTTAACATGAAGCTTATTGCTTCTGTAATTGATTTCTGCATAAACGGTTGTTTGTTCAATATTCAGCAGATAATGCCTTCATGTGGAAGATTAATTAACTCCAACAATTTTCCATTTAAGAATTTCTTGTAGCATGGCGATGGCACATTAAAGCTTTTACTTTGAATAATTTGACCATTATCTATTCGTAGAGGCGTTTATCAGAGATTGTGTTTTTGAAACTCCAACTATTGAAGACCTTGTGTCCAATACCTAGCTACAGAGTTCATTCCCTTTGACTTCAACACAACAGGTGTACACAACACAAACACTGTACTTCAAAAGAAAGTAACAACATTACTAGAACACTATCAACATCTTAAAGATGATCAATACTTGAATGTGTTTGGGTTCGACAACTTGTATTACTAATTGATTAATTGATTAATATTGACTAGATATCCTCTGGGTTGTTAGATGTTTTCGGTTCTTGGTGTCTCACTAATGACTTCGGAATTATCAATACAGCAGATTGTTTGTTATACTGAAACTTCACAGGTTTGAATAGCTTATGTTCCTTCATCGCCTGTGATTATATAGATTGACTTTAATTGACCCGTATGACTAGTATCGGATCCTGGGCAAATTACAACCAGTCCTCACGAATACAAGTCGACTTCATGTTTTCAAAACTTCATTCTTTGCCGAATAACGCCATCTGAGGTTACGTTTACATATTTCAGTAGTCAGTGAGTCAGTGAGTAGCTTTACTCTGCCTGCAATGTTTGGCGGCCGTTGATGTAGTTCGTTGATTTACTACCACTGTAATGAAACTCATTAACGCGGGTGCATTATTGAAAAAATCAAGAATCATATTAATTCGAAATTGTGTTGGAACATAAAATCAGCAGATCCCGACAACGATTGATACGAAACCTGGTGACTTTTGCTTCATGTATCCAGTGGAAACTAATATCCTGGCGAAAAATGCTGATTTTTGTCTTCAACAAAAGCCTGGACACGCTCAACAGGAAAAAGGCCTGACATTCAGCACCTCTTGTGGTACCAGACCCAGCTGGGATCGTGAACTGGATCCGAGCCGGCATTTGACATGAGTTTACAATGTCCCTTGGAACTATTGAGTCCTGCTTGGAAGTTGAATCCAAAGCAGCGAGGAATCTGGTCACACAGACTCCCGCATTGTATCCGTGTTCCAACATGTTCACTGAGCGGCGTCCCTTCAAGACGGAGAGAGGGATTCTTCGAAAAGAAAGACCCGGTGCCTGTGAATACAGAAGATATACAATTGTTTATTAGCTGGCTGATAATACGTGCTACTGAAAAAAGAAAATTATTACGTTCTTCATATGATTACCCAAAGGATATGAATTTGCGCTCAATATGTCTATTTATTGCCATATATGAGGTCTCCATCACTTCTGGATTTCATTGCACGTTAAGCTTTACCTTGTATGCTTCTGAATATTACCATACCATATTACATGGGCCCAACAGGCCTTGAGCACATTGCCTTTTGGTTTACTTGTTGCTAAAAATAATCTAAGGTCTTCCCTTGCTGCCAGTCATCAGTATTAGTCATGGAAGAACTTTGGAGAGTCCTCCACACTGAAGGGTGCGTAGTCTTGTCATTTTTGAAATAAAAATTCAAAGGTTTAGAGGATTTATGTGCCAAGCTTTGATTTGAAGAAGTTATAATTTCACAGATGTTTTCTTCTTCTTCTTACAAGTGGAGACCAACATGCAGGTCAGACGTAGAGGACTTACTCCATAAAGTCATAGTGTTCTCTATGACCAGTGACAGGCGGCCTCTCATGATCTCAAGAGGGAAATGGGCGTTTTCTCTGGACGCCAGTGGCGTCCGGGCCCTGTATCTAGCAGTCTTGCCAATGCACCTATGCCTAACCCTTATTCTGAACTGCATGGCACAGAAGTGTCACGGCAGAGTTCTAGAACAAAGCCCAATACTGAGGAGATGGACCTCTCCTCCAAAGACATGCTCTCACCCTGGTTATAGGGAAATGAGGGGCGCAGGCCAAACCATCCTCCTCCCAAGAGGCAGCTATATCCATGTCCCATCGTCCAGCCTGCACGACTTGACAGTCTGAAGGATAGAGCATTGAGAGGAGGAGGCAATCTGCTCATAAAGGAATGGGAGGACCCCGTTGTGCCTCCGACTGCAAGCACCCCTCCTTGTTGGACCTTGAGAGAAGATGAATCCGGAAGATGGGACAGAATATGGTTTGCCAAAATATACAGAGGGGTACCGAAGGGTTAATCATGCCCAAAGGGATTACCCTGTATATGGAGATGGTCATTCTTATGGCACCCATCAATGTTCACGCTCCCATAGGTCTCAGATGTATGGAGACTATATTGACCATGATCCAAGGGATCATTATTCCGTAGAAGGCCCTAGCCGATTCCGGGTGGATGCTATACATCCTGTGGCCCGCATACCAACCAGCTGCGGGGTACTCTAGTCACTCCGGGATCATTCTGGATATTTTAAAGATGATCCTGCACATGCCCCCAGAGATAGGCAAAGGATATATACACCACTACGTAATAAGAGAATAGAAAGGATTCAGAGAGCTCCGCATCGTCTTTTCTTTGTATTGGCTGGCAGGTGTTGGATAAAGCTGCAACGTCTGCGGAATGGGACTAACTGGTTATCAACAGCACATAATAGCACCCCAGAGAAGACTCAAATTCCTCCCATATGGATCGGATAGGAGCAAACTCGACGAGCACTTCTTAACGCCTTGTCATCGACTCTGAGCATGGGCATGAGATCCAAGAACCGCCTTTCAGACATTGCAGCCCTGGTAAAGGGAATTCCATATCCCCTTCTCCACAACACTTGTGAATTCACCGTCGACTGTTTCAGGTGACCAATAGTCATCAGAAATCCTATCAGGGCCCAAATCTCATCTCAATTCGTTTCTTTCCAAACACTTACTTTTTAACCATATTGTCAGTCACAAACAGTTTGAACACAGAATCCTCAGAAATGTTATGATCCGCATTGACCACCCGTCGGAGTAGACCTCGTATTATGTTTCAGGTACATGTTTTGGCTGGTGGCAATGGAGTGGTTGACCATATACTGCCATCTTTTCCAACCATAAACCGCTGTCCAGGTTCATGATCACTGGATGATGTGCCATCGCTGGAAGTAGGCGACACAAAATCGCTGTCTGATCCACTGTCTTCTGTGAAAAGTGGTCCTACTTCATCACTGGCCTCATAGTAGCTTAAACTGCCCAAAATATCATTCAAACCTTCGTGGCTCTTCCTTCGTTTGCTCACTTTGATGTAACAAAACCTGCAGTCAACTAGGTACCTGGACTGTTTGGATGTAGAACACAAGGTTTTGGACAATGTCCCCGGGCACTTGACGTGGGTAGAAATTTATAATGACTAGAAAACATCAATTAGTAATTAAGTGTTGATGAAAACCTGTTTGAGACCATGGTCTCTAGTATGGTGATCTACCTTCAGCTGTTGGCGATCTATAGCCTGCTTTTATATTGTATTGTCCAAATAGTGCTATCAGTTTTAACTTTCCACACTAGTTTTAGTTGTAAGTGTGATATTCTAGTTGTTTTACCGTCCTTCGTCGACAGGTTTTTATAATATACATATCTTCCATTTCAATGTCACATATGTTCTCGTCACGATATGGCTGAAATATTGCCGATGTGACGTTAATTAATAACTCACTCACTCACTGTTTGAGACAAGTATTCACAGAACTTGAAGGATACATAAAGCGGAAACAGGCCCCTGCGATACAACGTAAGGGTTAAGTTAGCCGTGATTTGACACATCCATGTTCGACATAACCGTGTTTGGCTGTATTAAGGATATGGCGATATTAAACATAACTGGTATGTACGTTCGGCCCAGTTGAGAAATCAAGCGAGGACACAGTGGCATAGATCTCCAGTTCACAGAACTGCAGTGCATCATCATGGAGCATCTCATTCTTTTGTATCCTGAGGTACTGTCCTCTGACTCGCGACCCACAGGGCAGCACCTCCCGGACCCCAGCCCCGACTGTCCCGGGGTACACAGCGCACACCCTGGCCACGGCTGTTGGGGTGGTACTTGGGTTCTCAGTGTAAACACTGATTGTGAAATTATGAAGTCTCCATTCTGAAAGGAATTAAGAAAAAAAAAACACACCATCTTGATATTACGTCATAACATGGCCACAAAACGTCCCTGTTCTCATTATGGTCATATATGGTTGTTGTGTGGAATTACGTCCCTTGGCCGTGTCAGGCTAATGTGATACCCGGTTCAAATCCAAGGTTCGGCCTGTTTTTACCTTTTCTTTCAGAAAGAAAAAAATGTGGTACGGACGGACAATAAGGCTTAATATGACAAATATGAATTAAACAATTTAGGATGCATAAAAGTTTTCTCGGGCTAAAACATTTAAGACGTTAGGAAGGACTAAAATTCATAAAACTCGGCTCTTCAATACAGTGTCAGACTCAAGAAAGGGAAGAATGCATATTTTTTACGAAAGACGTAGCTGTCGTACAGGCTTATGATGTCCGATAAACGTGTTAGCCTGACAATAGTTGGGGTGGTGGGGTAGCCTAGTGGTTAAAGCGGTAACTCCTCACGACGATTCCCACACGGGTAGAATGCGTGAAGCCCATTTCTGGTGCCCCCGCCGAGATATTGCTGGAATATTGCTACAAGCGGTGTAAAAACCTACTCACTCACTGATAAGAGTTACTTACGAAAAGCATCCGCTCGATTAGTAACTGCGACAATCTCTACACAATATTGTGTTTGGAGGTTAATTTGCCACCATGGAAGGGGATCTGCTGGAGTTTTCTCCCCTAACACGCATGAGTTGCCACTGTATACTGGATTGTCGTTGCCGTCATTGCCTCGTTCAGGTACACCGCCATAACCGTTGTGACTTGATGATACTGGCTTCGACAGGGCAATGTTTTCACTCCCTGCTGTAACTTAAAGTTAAATATACTAACAGATAATGTAACGGGCCACACTTACATCAGTTTATATAGTTGCTGTTTAACGCAGCACGTCTCCAGCTACATGACGGCGGCCTATAACTAATCAAGTCCAGACAATCCGGTGACAATCACGACCATCAATCTACGCAACTAGGATACGATGACATGCATCAACGAAGTCAACGAGCCTTTAGTCGCCTTTTACGACAAGCTGAAAACCAATTCTAACCCGGTTCTTCACGGATCCACATCTACATTAGTGAGCCAGTAAAACGTCTGATATCTGATATTCCAGCATAAGGACATTTCGGGTTAGAACTGGTCCCAAGGACTCCATTGCTTTTCGTTTGAAGCTTCTTTGGATCAAGTGGCCAATCACAGTTGGTGTCATCGTAATCCGAAAATGATGGTCCTTGGACTTCAGAGGGTCCTATATTATAAGTGTCCCTATGTGTGTAATGGGGTTTTAAGTCCGATAGGCTCCATTTGTAAAATAAGACATACATACCTTGCTCAATCACTATCTTCCAAATATGTATACTTCATTAATAAAATGTGAACTTAAAATGTAGATACCAGAAAGAAAACATGTGATGGGTTTTCTAAAATCAAATCGCGAATTCCACATGCGCCCCTATGTAAACCCCGATATAACTTATGTTACAACTGACGATCTTCTGGAAGGAAATGTCTATCAAAATCAATTCAATTCTTTATTTCGTTACTGTTGGCAACTGCCACTGCCCTGGCCTAACGTTTACATACATGTCACAGACTAGTTTTACAGTGCTGGCTTCGCCGAATCACATTTTACAGGGCAGGCAAATGTGTTTATAGTCTAATAGAAACTTACCTGCAGAAGCCAGGCATTCCAAAGTCAACAAATATATCCACAGGTCATGTTTTTGTTATCAGCCATGACACGAAAGAATTTCAAAGCCATAAAACACCCACTGCCAGAGAGTGGCAAACAAGACCGTTGCCGTCCGTGTCTGGCAGGTGAATGCAAGAGCATCTCTTGACGACAAGCTGAATGTGAGCATGAGTTGATGATCAGTTGGGAATTGCTGTTGTTGTTGTTTGGCTTTAACGATTTATGTCACCCTGCAGATTGTCTGATCGTGTTTTCTTCAAACTAACCAGATAGTAATTGGCAAACGAGGTTACATAACGACCACTCCAAGTTGTATAGCTACATTAAGCTACGGTTATAACGAACGCATAGGGGCCACTAATTATATTTCGTTTTAACCGTAGTTCGGTTTTTCATTTTTGCTAATATATTTAGCAAGTGACCCTCTGTAAAAAAAAAAATCTGGAATTGAAAACTCACGTTGATGAATGAAAAGTATAAATATTAATGTTTATCAAGTTATTAAGAGATTAAGATAAGATTCATTAAGGTTTAAAATATTTATAATCTTAATGTTAAACGAACCAATATGAACAACAAGAAAAAAACAGCCAATCTTAGTCAAACTTTTCACACGAGCGCCGGTGTCTAAGGTATGGAACATGATGCGGTTTATCGACAGGACGTCGACTTTTTTCTTAACTAAACCGTGACATTTCACCAACGGCTCGACGTCCTGTACAGACACCCATGATACAGAGAATGAAAAGAATGGGTGCTAACTCTGGCGTCAACCATTTTCAAAAAAAGGAAATGAATTATTAACAGACACTACAGATATTGCAAACATGCTAGGTGAAACATTCTTTATCGTCTAATTTTGTACCAAATATCAAAATCAGCAAGGAAGGAAAAAAAACTATTTCAATTCAGATAACGAGGAAGATTACGATGAAATATTTTCAATTCATAGAGCTCCATACTGCACTTGCGCAAGTTCATTCGCCCACCGCAGGAGCAGATAATGATGCCTGTAGACATTTCTTAAAAATGCAATTATTAACAACCAACATTTCGATTAAGATAAAGCATCACATTATTTACCATAAAGATTAACAGTTCAAATAAAGTTTTAATTGATTCACTTGATGATTTTGATATTTATCGTCGTGGCAAAAGTAAATACACTACTGAAAGGCAGCTGCAGATTTGTTTTGATAATGCATTGTTTTTTTCCGTAGTAATATGTGGTTACGGTTACGTACTGGTTTTACAATTAATTTTGTGATAATCTAGTAGTTATATTGTCCTTTTCTATAGTCTAAATTTATTTAGTTTAGTCTATAACTTTCAAAGTCCCATTATGGCTGAAATACTTCCAAAGTGACATTAAATTTTAATTCACTCACTAAATGTCATAAAGTAATCTATTATGCAATTTCTTACTGGAGGCCCAGCGATACGATCAAATAACTGCATACGATCCTCAGCAGCCGAAGATCCTGCATTCTTCTCATACTGACGAGATGCGATACAAGATATTCTTTATTTGACCTTCTACGTGTACAGAGATTTAAAACTATAGATTGTCACCGTAGAACATGGACGTCCCTAAACACCTTTACAGGGTCATAATTTATTCAAATATCTTGTGGGAAACTGGAAACACGCTTGGTCTCTGATATTAGATCTTAATAATAGCTTTGTAGGAGGTCTGCTGTTTGAGTCATACCACATTTACTGTTCCTTAGACGCGGCTAATTTTAGTTGCAATTAAGTAGCCACTCATGACAATATCGACATGTTTCAGCTGTTTCAAACCATCTGGGCGGTTGGGCAGCCTAGTGGTTAAAGAGTTCGCTCATCACGCCGAAAACCCGGGTTCGATTCCCAACATGGGTACAATGTGTGAAGCCCATTTCTGGTGTACCCCGCCGTGATATTGCTGGAATATTTCTAAACGCGGCGTAAAACTATATTCACTCACTCACTCAGTCAAACCATTTAAATACCTTTTGGAGTATATGCTTACTCCTTCATCAGGTGAATGGATGCTGTGAGGCAGAGAGCATATATATACATGTTCATGTAAGAAAGACATAAGTAATAAGGGGAATCTGATCTCTGTGGCATACAGCTGTCAAACTGTCAAACTGAAGAACAACTAAAGGGGTTCACTGGGGTGCACCTATCCCACCCCGATTCATAACGCATTGACCGCAACGCATTGTGTAATCTATACATGATGTCCGATAGCCGCTCAACAGCAAAGTTGTTAAATTTTTAATGATGACCATATATCGACATTTTTCTCAAAAATTCTTGACACAAGCAATACCGAGTGGCGTTGGTTGTGTAACTAATTGTTAGTGATGAAAATATTCCGCATTTTTGACCGTAATATACCACTTGTAATGGAGCCTTCAGCAATATCATCGAGTATTGCTTAACATATATCCTTTGGTTGTGTAACTATTTGTTAGTGATGAAATCATTCCGCACATTTTACCGAAACATATCACTTGAATTCGAGCCTTCAGCAAGATCATCAGTTAATGCTTTATATACAACCTTTCACGCTGGGGAGTGTATTGTTCACCTACCTTCACTTCATTTACATGAAGCTTAACATATTATCCATGAACATATTATCCTATACTTTCGCTGCGCTGCTTCAGTTGCACTATTGACTCTCTTTGCAAATAATGAACTTTATTTTCAGAACCGCTTTATCAGACACATAAAACTGCCTCAGTTCACCGATCAGAAAATGGGTACCCGGTGACTATAACCTTCTAGCCCCTCACAGGCAGCTTGGGTTATCCGGGGTAATAATAATCAGATTCAGCGTCCAGTGAGCAACTAGTCAGATGGATTCTAGGCGCTATGTAAATCAATAATTATTAAAGAATAGTTATAGTAAAGAGGATGTATTGTTCAGTATACAAGTATACTGATCAGCAGGCTATGTAAAGATAATAGAAGGTATCATGAAAAAGCTAAGCCTTGGCATCAAGTGGTTGTAGCTGTGACAGTGTCGTCGGAATATTCGCAGTTAGTGAGAACGTTCACGTTCATGTTTAGATACATGCGCTTTGGTGGCGGGGTTTGAACGAGCAATAGTGATTGAAATGATATTTTACGAAGTGGAAAGTATTTTTTTCCCTTTTGTATGACGTAATGGAAAGAAAGGAGATAGTCATGAGAGTGATTGAGTTGAGTTTTACGCCGCACTTAGCAATATTCCAGCTATATGGCGGCGGTCTGTAAATGATCGGATCTGGACCAGACAATCCAGGGATCAACAGCATGAACATCGATCTACGCAATTGGGATGCGATGACATGTGTCAACCCAGTCAGCGAGCCTGACCACCCGATCCCGTGAGTCGCCTCTTACGACAAGCATGGGTTTCATTATGTGATTTACAAACAATCGTTTGAATAACAGAAGCAATTACTTCATAAAGCAGAATCTGGATTTGAAAGTTAATATACAACATTTTATTTGATTAAACACATCTAAGAGAACTAAAACATAATAATATTCAATTTTATTGGTCACTACATATGTGACATAAAAAGCAAGGTTTAGATGTACTCACAGACAGGGGCGGATACTGCTTTTTGAGAAAGGGGGGTGCACACTTCATTTTAACCCGAGTTACAATGGTCATTTAATAAACTTTTGAGGACAAAAGGGGGAATGCGCACCCCTGAGGTGTTATCACATCACGTCCAACCTTTAGAATTCACCACTACACACTTCACAAACACTTCACAACACCCCACCACGTAATTGTGTAGATTTGCACACACGGTTCTTGAGACATGGAAAAGAACCCAGTTTAATTGTGTTAAAACATTTTATTTTTTAACATTGTACACCATTTGATACGACAGTATTACAGAAACGTTTCATTCCTATTCAAAATATGTTTTTAAATAGTCCATTTGACTTTCGACTAAATCGTAAGCATGTATCAATAACCAACTATCAATAAGTTATGAAAAGGTGATCGTATCCTGCAACGTCGCTGACATCCGTTACAAACACATGCACAGGCAAGTGAATTGTTCACCTAAAACACGGGAACATATGCTGCAATATGCCTTAGTACACATGTACAGTGCTAGACTGCCCAGTGAGTTGTGACGCTGTCTGTAACGATAGGGTGTGATAACGGTTTAACGTGAACACTGGTATCTCAGTTAGTTTTTTGCCTGCAGCAAGTAGAATAAGTGAACAAGATCACATAATGTAGCTATTTGTGATATCAGATCATCCTCATCAATCCAGTGTATTATTTCGACATTATTTTGTATAAAAATAACGTAAACGATCGGCAACCAAACTTCGTTTCTAATGTGCCACCTATCTTATTTTCTCACCTCAAAAATCGACCCCTCTTTGGTATGAATGTTTTAGGGACTTTGCCATGCAAACCTTAGTGCCATATTTTCACAGGTATTTTCCATTTCCAAGATGCACTTATTTTATTTTAATCAATTTGACAACCAGCAAAGGTGTTAATATTTAACAAAGCAGAGACTTCCTCATATGACCTTTATCGCTTAATGGAATTGCAAACAGGGCTGAGACTTCGATACCATAAACATACAAATCTTCAGAACTTCTCAATTTCTTAATTACACAGAAAATGATGACAAGAAACAGAATGTTATAATAACTGTAACATATACATATACATCTAAATGTACATATATCTACACATATACACAATGTAGTATGCATATATATATATGTGTGTGTGTGTGTGTGTGTGTGTGTGTGTGTGTGTGTGTAAAATACACACAGTTTATCAAGAATGCGATACTCTACTTAGTTGCTGGGGTGAACTCAACATCAAACATCCTGTGTCGACTGTAACTGCGGCGCTAAAATCTCAGTGTTGTTTTGTTAAAAACGGCTATGTTTTCCAAGTGCAGAACTACTGAATTGAGCTATTACATTAAGCCCAGAGAATATCAGTCTCGATGCTCCAGCAAGGTAAACAACGCCGTGCAAACGTTTGTTTCGGGCTCAGTATTGTTAGAAGATAATTACTCCACCAAAACAATACCTATGATTTTGTGGCGATCGATAAAAACACACTTTGAATAAAGTGACGATGCATACAACTGCCACTGAATGACATTTTTATTATTTTGTTCAAAAAGAAACTAATGGCAGGTCAACTCATGTAAGGGTGCATCTGCTGACTTCGGAAACAATTTCTGTTAGAGTAGGTGTATTTCAGGGCGATTACTTTAGTCCTTTGCTTTTCTGTTCGACACTCAATCTTTAAACCTTTCGCTTAACATTGCGGAAGGTTACAATCCTGTTATCCTCATCCTATGGATGATCTTGAACTTATTGCCAAGGAAGGTGACACACTGTAAACCTATCACCCATTCAGGGTATTGACACCCACCCGAAGAATCAAAGTAGATTTACCGCCGCCCTCTCTCTTCCGTTAATCGAATATAATGGTAATGGGAGGTCGTTGTTTGAATAACGTGGAGATTGTACTCTTTGGCACACATTTATTTGTCTGATGACTTTCTTGTGGGGGCGGTGGGGTGGCCTAGTCGTTAAAGCGTTCGCTCGTCACGCCGAAGGCCCGGGTTCGATTCCCCACATGGGTACAATGTGTGAAGCCCATTTCTGGTGTCCTCCGTCGTGATATTGCTGGAAGATTGCTAAAAGCGGCGTAAAACTAAACTCACTCTTGTGAAGCATGTCAAAACTCATAAAGGACACAAGGTGTTCCACAGTTATCTGAAAGAGCCAAGGATGTTGGACACAATCTCAATGTAAATTTTGATGGTTCAAAATGAGTGTCATCCAAGTGGAGTGCCATGTCAAATCTTACGGGACGGTTCTCTGACCGACCACCCGAGTTTAAGTGCATTGTGTTGAGAAGAAGATCAACATTGCTGATTGAATGAAATCGGTTGGGCTGAAAAGTGAAACAGAAGGTTTACTGTTGCTGCTCACTTCCCACTCGTAACCGTCAGTAAGAGGGGCCCAACTGGTGCCCACTCTGAATGTTCGACAGGGAGGTAGTCAAGCGCTACACATACTGTTTTCTCAATAAATATAAGATGTAATTTGCTTTCACTTTCTGGACAAACTGGCATGAACCTTCCAGGTAGAGATGTATCTATTATCACCCTCGTTAGAAGCACAATATCAAGGAATGACGGTTGTTGGATAATGGTTTTCAAAGATGAAAATTAAATGTTTTGACCGAATTCACCTTGCTTCTTTTCTGCTTTTGCAAACATTCAAGCGAATCCTTTCAGACATGTATTAATTCCATTTGCCTCAAGTACTTTGTGGGAATTCAAAGAAAACCAATCCTTACTTGTTAGAATTATGGTTAAAATTTGAGACAGAAAGTTAGTTGCTGATCCTCTCTCTCTCTCTCTCGAACTTGAGAAGAGGAATGGACGTTTCTTTAGATTTATAAACTGAAGCATACGATTTTGCTGATCCTAACAATATTTTTGTCTTGATTGCTTTGATTGAGCATTAGCATTAGGTATAGAGGAGAAACAAGAGTTTCCAAATTTTCAAATCCCTGAAGTTCTTCAGTAATTCCACTTGTGCCAAATACTTTCTTTGAATATAGCAGTTGGCACGCCATAGAACCTGACTATCAAGTGCCAAATGTTTGGTGTTTAAATTTACAACCAACTTTCTGTTAAAGACCCATCCTGGCAAGGAATCTAAAAGCGTCCCTGTAATTGATTTCTGCATGTTCATTCAATGTTAAACAGGTAATGCCTTCATGTGGAACATTGATTAACTCCAGCAATTTTCCATTTGAGAATCCCTTGTACCATGGCGATGGCATAAAAGCTTTCACTTTGATTGATTTTACCATTGTCTGTTCGTAAAGGCTTTTATCAGTGATTGTGATTTGAAACTCCAACTATCAAGGACCTGTGTCCAATACCTTGCCACAGATTTCATTCCTTTGATTGAAACACAAATGTCGTAAACAAAACAAACACTGTACTTGTGTTACTAATTGTTTCCACAGTTTGCCATAGTGAAACTGCACAGGTTTGCATAGCCGATTTAGTTTAGTTTTACGCCGATTTAGCAATGTTCCAGCAATATCACGGCAGGGGACATCTGAAATGATGAGCAAACGCTTTAACCGCTAAAATACACTGTCCCACACATGTTCATTCATCGCCGGTGAATATAAACCGTTGTTTTACAGTGTGTTCGTTTTGTTTCACCAACTAATCAAGACACGAACCGGTTCCAGCTAGAGGGAATCCAGTCAGTGCTTTGACCAATCACAGGCAGACTGCAGCGCAAACAGGGCTGCGCAACAGAGAGAAGAATTACCGGTCTGTCTATATGCGAGCGAAGCGAGCAAAGGTTGGCAACGTACTTCCCTTCGGTTCGAAAAATATTTTTAATATCAAAATAAAATATCGCCACCATCAAAGGTAGACACTCATTTCCTCACAGATTTATCTCAGATTTCCAACCTCATATATAATAATTACTCACGTACAATATATTTAATTCAACATTTTAAGCGCCACTCATGGCAAATCAAACCGTTGACCAATGAGCGTTTAGAGCGCACTGACGGCGATACTTCTCGTGCCATAGTCCGTAGGCCATCTGACTCAACCGTAGATCACACCACATGTACGGGCGATGGAGAATCGTATTAAATTACAGGTGTGTGACTTTATTTTTACGCCGTTTTACCTAACATTCCAGCAAGAACACGGCCGGGGACACCGATGGGCTTCGAACGGGGAATCGAACCTGGGTCTCCGGCGTGACGACCGAGCGCTTACCCCACCGCCCCTATTACATACAAAATGTGTATAACTCCGAACAAGCATTATTCCAACTGTCTAAAATAGTAGGACCTATGATAGATGTTACTACGCCCTGGGTCATCGTAATGACACACCATCGACCGAACCCGAACTACTAACAACTAGTACCGGGTCCTGGTTAATTACAACCAGTCACCACGAATACATGTCAACTTGATGTTCTGTGATATGTGTTAACGAAGCCCTTTGAAACAAATGTACACGACAACCGTTTTCCAAATTTCATTGTTTCTGGAATAAACGTCATCTGAGGCAGGGGTTACTGGGCCTTATTTTCAGTGAGTCATTGAATGAGTAAATATGGTTTTACGCCAATATTCCAGCAATATCACCGCGGGGGGCACCATAAATGGGCTTCACGAATTAAACCCATATCGGGAATCGAACCCGGGTCTGCAACGTGACGAGGGGACGCTTTAACCATTGGGCTACCCCATCGCCCCCAGTGAGTCAGTGAAAACCGTGATTGTATTAAACGTTGTCTACAATATTTGACTGCCTCGTATAGTTCGTTAATGTACTACCACTGTAATGATACTATTATTGACAAATCAAGAATTTTATTGAACGCGAAGGTATGTAGGAACGAGCAGATCTCAGGGACACAACTCTAAATAGGAAACATGGACTCTTTTGCTACCTGTATCAGCTTACCAGTATCACCTCGTAAAGTATACTATCCCCTATAAAGAAACGCATAGGCTTTTTGTATTTTTAATAATCTATTAATTACCCTTTGTGTTCAAACAATCGTCAAAATATGTAACAAAAGTGTTGATAACATGATTTTACACAATTGCACAAGTAAAAAAATCGACTTGACCTGAAAATATTGATTTTGTTGAGATTTCTTACAAGGATTAAAAAAGGCATCGCCACAACGCAACCGAAATCACCTTCCAATTGAAATTGTGCAGCAAAGAGCATGCGTTGTCTGGCTATAAAAATCCATATTACTTTTGGAAATGGGCATTCGTTTTGAAGGAGTTTCAAGGTCAAATCACTACGCCACGTCGTGACTCTGCGACATGGAACATCGCCATTGAAAGAATGCACGCTGGAGATCACCAACCTTCTGTTGCCAGGCGTCTGAATGTCACGATATCACGGTTTGCAGCTCGTTACAACCAAACAGGTATAACAAATGACCGTCCTCGTACGGGCAGAGCTCGAGTCACCACTGCAGCCCAAGATTGGTACATCCGGGTACTACATTTGCGTGATCGTACTGCCACGGGTGAGAGCACAGCAGCCAGGGTGCCTGGACTTCGGAGGATATCCGGGCAAACTGTACGGAACAGGTTGAGAGAGATTGGACTGAGAGCCAGGAGACCCGACATTCGGGGCCGTGCTACATCGTCACAATCGCGCTCAACGTATCCGTTACCTAAGATTATCCACTTGGATGTATAGACATTCCCTTCTTCTAAACTGATGTAAAAATATTCATGTACTAAAGTCTATTTGTGGACGAGTTATACATGTTTGAAAATACAACATTTTCGCAACAGATTTCTGGCCTATGCGTTTCTTTTTGGGGATAGTATATTTCAATACAGGCATTTAAAACCAACATCCTAGCGAAAACTGTTGTCTGTGTCTTCTACAATGATCTGAACACGCTCTACAGGAAAAAGACTGACATTCAGCATCTCTTGTCGTACCAGGCCCAGCTGGGATCGTGAACTGGATCCGAGCTTGGATTTGACATGAGTTTACAATGTCCCATGGAACTATTGAGTCCTGCTTGGAAGTTGAATCCAAAGCAGCGGGGAATCTGGTGACACAGGCTCCCGCATTGTATCGGTGTTTCAACATGTTCACTGAGCGGCGTCCCTTCAAGACGGAGAGAGGGGTTCTTTGAAAAGAAAGATCCGGTGCCTGTGAAAACAGAAGATATACCATTGTTTATTAGTTGGCTGATAATAAATGCCGCTGGAATAAAAAGACATAATTATTGATTTACTCATATAATTACCCAAAGTATATGACTTTACACTATGATTTGCGAACTTTCTTGAAGGTTCCCCTTTCTTCTAGTGGTTGATGTTGATGTGTAGAATTTTGCCAGGAAATATGGTGGTCGGGACTTTTGATGAGGTGTTCCGAAAGGGCAGATTTTGTGTCAGATTTGTCTTCAGAGGTCTGATGTTCTTTTATTCCGGTGGCTATGGGGCATCAAGGAAACTTCAAGAAAGCATCGAAATCCGAAGAAAGAATCCAGCCATTAACCTAGACCAAGGCATTGACCTTCCCAGTGCATACTCCATTGTGATATATCATCGGCTTAGTCTGACATTGTCATACCGTTAACCGCATTGACCCCATCCTTACGTTGTTATCTTTGTACATTAATCCTATCTCATTGGGTTCATGTTATGTTGTTATCTTCGTACATTAAGCCTAACTAATTGGGTTCGTGTCATGTTGTTATCTTCGTATATTAATCCTAACTAATTGGTTTCGTGTTATGTTGTTATCTTCGTATATTAATCCTAACTAATTGGGTTCGTGTTATGTTGTTATCTTCGTACATTAATCATAACTAATTGGGTTCGTGTTATGTTGTTATCTTTGTATATTAATCCTAACTAATTGGGTTCGTGTTATGTTGTTATCTTTGTACATTAATCCTAACTAATTGGGTTCGTGTGTCATGTTGTTATCTTCGTATATTAATCCTATAACTAATTGGTTTCTGTGTATGTTGTTATCTTCGTATATTAATCATAACTAATTGGGTTCCGTTATGTTGTTATCTTTTACATTAATCCTATAGTTGGGTTTCATGTTATGTTGTTATCTTTGTACATTAATCCTAACTAATTGGGTTCGTGTTATGTTGTTATCTTTGTACATTAATCCTAACTAATTGGTGTTCGTGTTAATCCTAACTAATTGTTGTTATCTTTGTACATTAATCCTAACTATTGGGTTCGTGTTATGTTGTTATCTTTGTACATTAATCCTATCTAATTGGGTTCGTGTTATGTTGTTATCTTTGTACATTAATCCTAACTAATTGGGTTCGTGTTATGTTGTTATCTTGTTTAATCCAACTAATTGGGTTCGTTATCTTTGTACATTAATCCTATCTAATCTAACCAACTGCGTTACATGTTGTTGTTATCTTTGTACATTAATCCTAACTCAACCTCTTGGGTGTTATGTTGTTATCTCGTGCTATGTTGTTATCTTCATATATTAATCCTATCTAATTGGGTTCGTGTTATGTTGTTATCTTTATACATTAATCGTAACTAATTGGGTTCGTGTTATGTTCTTATCTTTGTATATTAATCCTATCTAATTGGGTTCGTGTTATGTTGCTATCTCTGTACATTTACATCCCGCATCCCCAATCTTGGCGTTGTCATTACAACATACTGTTATCTTTGCACATTTATCAAATCCATTTGGCTTTTGGATTATATTGTTATCTCTGTACAGTCTCCCATCTTGCGTTATGTGAACATGTTTCATCTTAATATATTCTCTCTGTGCACTGACTCCTGCTTACATGATCAAGGAGCTAGAATTAACTCTGAAACGTAATGAATAAAAAGTTGTTATCCCCCAAAACGTGTCATGTATTTATATTGATATACAGTCTAACACCGTTGTGTCGAAGTAGAGGTGACCTCCGTATTACTCGTGTTATACGAGGTTCGACGCAACCGCAAAATGATGACTAAAGAAGGAATACGAGACCAAGCTTTTACTTCGAGACAACCGTACCTCGACACAACCGGAAGTTCGACACATCAGACTTCGACACAACCAGAAGTTCGACACAACTGTCTTTGACTGTCTCAGTAGTTTTGACTTGAACTTGAAGGATACATAAAGCGGAAACTGGCCCCTGGGGCTTTCAGGCCCGGGGATACAAGGTAAGGGTTAAGTTAGCCGTGATTGGACACATCCATGTTCGACATAACCGTGTTTGGCTGTATTAAGGAAGTGACGATAATTAAACATAACTGGTATGTACGTTCGGCCCAGTTGAGACTTACTCAGACTTGTATCGAAATCAAGCGAGGATTCAGTGGCATAGATCTCCAGTTCACAGAACTGCAGTGCATCATCATGGAGCATCTCATTCTTGTGTATCCTGAGGTACTGTCCTCTGACTCGCGACCCACAGGGCAGCACCTCCCGGACCCCAGCCCCGACAGTCCCGGGGTACACAGCGCACACCTTGGCCACGGCTGTTGGGGTGGTACTTGGGTCCTCAGTGTAAACACTGATTGTGAAGTTATGAAGTCTCCATGCTGAAAGGAATTAAGAAGAAAACACTTGCCACGAGAACCATCTTGAAATTACGTCATAACATGGCAACAAATCGTCCATGTTCTCATTTACGGTCATATTTGCTGAGTTATGTCAGGCGTGTCAGGCGACTGTGATAACCGGTTCAAATCCCAGGTTAGGCCTGTTTTGGTCTTTTTTCAGAAAGAAAACAAATGTGGGGCGGACGGACTCAGACACGGGTTCATACATCAACGCCTATCGTGACAAATATGAATTAAACAATTTTGACTGAATAAAGTTTTTTTCGGTCTAAAACATGTAAGACGTTAAAACGATTTAGCCTGATAATAGTTGGGGTCTAACTTTCGCTCCTCACGACGAAGCCCATTTCTGGTGCCCCGCCGAGATATTGCTGGAATATTGCTACAAGCGGAGTAAAAACCTACTCACTCACCGATAAGAGTTACTTACGAAAAGCATCCGCACGATTAGTAACTGCGACAACCTCTACACAATATTGTGTTTGGAGGTTAATTTGCCACCATGGAAGGGGATCTGCAGAAGTTGCCTCCCCTAACGCGCATGAGTTGCCACTGTAAACTGCATTGACGTTGCCGTCATTGCCTCGTTCAGGTACACCGCCATAGCTGCTGTGACTCGATGATACTGGCTTCGACAGGGCAATGTTTTCACTCGCTGCTGTCACTTCAAGATAAATAAAATGATAGATAATGTAATGGGCCACATTTACATCAGTTTGTATGCTTGTTGTTTTACGTCGCACTCAGCAATATTCCAGCTACACGACGGCAGTCTGTAAATAATCGAGCCTAGACCAGACAATTCGGTGATTGACATCACGAGTATCGATCTACGTAATTGGGATACGATGACATGCATCGACGAAATCGTCGAGCATGACCCCCGATCCCTTGAGTCGCCTTTTACGACAAATTGAAGACCAGTTCTAGCCGGGTTCTTTACGGGTACACATCTCAATCAGACAGCCAGGGAAACGTCTGATATTTCTTGGCTGTTTATTGGCTGTGCGTAGTACGAGACACAGCCATAGGAAATCTGGGATAGAACTGGACCATTGGTCTTCATTGCTTGTCGTTAGAAGCGACTTTGGATCAAATAGACACCCTTGGTGAGTTGATTGACTGCGGGTACCCCGAAGGTGAGTTGGTTGACTGCCCGTACCCCGATGGTGATGTACGTCAATCAGCATATGCCCCTTCTTGAAGGACTACCGGGGGTCCTATCAAATAAGTGTACCTATGTGTGCAGTGGGATATTTATATATTTCAAAAGAATATACACCTTACTCGATAACTTTAGTCCAAATACACTCTTCAAATAGGAAACGCATAAGCCATTATTAGAAAAATTTATTGTGTTAGTTTAAGTGCAATTATTTCATGTAACTTCAATGGTAAAAAGGTGAAAATTCTACAGACCAAGAGTTCGCCAACACAACAGCAGCCTTTATTGTTGTGTTTCTGTTTACCCTAGTCCACAAAATGGCGTCAAAGTTAGTACTTTACATGGCCACCATTGGTAGCAATTACTGCTCGGCACCGGCTCTGCACCGTCTCGGCACAGACTGGGTAGGTCGACGAAGTTGCTCTTGTGGAATTCTTCCCCACTCTTCCTGAAATGCCATGGCCAGTTGTGGAAGTGTCTGGGGCGTGTTTCAACGTTGACGTAAACGTCGATCGAGTTCATTCCATAGGTGTTCGGGTTTAGATCTGATAATGGGGAAGGCCATGGCAAGACATTGACGTTAGAATTGGCAAGGTAGCGTACCGTTACGCGTGATGTATGTAAAGTAGCGTTGTCATGCTGGAACAACAACCTCTATCGGCCCATAATCGGGAGCATGTGGCGTTCAAGGACATCGTTGATGTACCGATTTGCTGCCATATTCCCCTAACCACCTCTAAACAGATCTTTGCGTGCTGGATATCCCACCCCACACCATGACACTCTCTCCACCGAATCTGTCGACCTGTCGAATGCAATTAGGGGCAAAACGTTCATTTCTCCGACGGTATACACGTTGTCTTTCATCTCGCCGGTGAACAAGGAATCGTGATTCATCACTGAACCAGACTCGCCTCCAGTTTCTAAGGTTCCACTTGCGGACTCTACGACACTACCTCAATGGAAGTCTCTCAAAACAGAGGCGACAACTGATCGTCTTGGTCTTGGTCCACGCAATCGATTCCTGACAGTTTGATCGGAAATTCGTCTCAAACCAGAGATGCGATGTGCAGTGGCAAGACGATGATGCAAGTGAGCAACCTGGATGTAGTGGTTCTGGGCTTGGGTGGTAACTCTTGGACGGCCGCTTCTCGGTCGATCTTGGGTCGAAGTGGTCTGCAGAAAACGATCCTAAAGGCAAGATAAGGTGTTCTCATGAACGTTGAAATGTCGGACAAATGCAGACTGCGAATCCTCAGCTTCATGGCGGCTTATGGCGATGTTTCGATTGGCGGCACTCAGTCGTGGCAAACAAATGACAAAAATAAATACAACGTTTGTCTTTTAAAAGTGATCGACACTGCGTGCCCTTCCGCTTACTTGCATGTGCATTTTGCTTTGCATGCTTTCTTGGTGACGTTTTGGTGAATATTTCTTCAAACGCCTCTAAAACAAAGGAAAAACTTAAAATTGCCGCGTTTTGGCGCTGAAGCTTTTATAATCACACAACGATGAAATAGTAAAGAAAGAAATAGTATATTTGTATTGTTTTTGCCGCAGCTACATGAGTCCAATATTCCAGCTTCTAAGGTTCCACTTGCGGACTCTACGACACTACCTCAATGGAAGTCTCTCAAAACAGAGGCGACAACTGATCGTCTTGGTCTTGGTCCACGCAATCGATTCCTGACAGTTTGATCGGAAATTCGTCTCAAACCAGAGATGCGATGTGCAGTCTCCACGGCTGTGGCAAAACAATGATGCAAGTGAGCAACCCAGATGTAGTGGTTCTGGGCTTGGGTGGTAACTCTTGGACGGCCGCTTCTCTTCCGATTTTGGGCGGAAATGGGCTTCGGGAAATGATCCTAAAGGCACGATAAGGTGTTCTCATGAACGTTGAAATGTTGGACAACTGCAGACTGCGACTCCCCAGCTTCAAGGCGGCCTATGACGATGTTTCGATTGGCGGCACTCAGTCGTGGCAAACAAATGACAAAATTAAATACAACGTTTGTCTTTTAATAGTGACTGATACCGCATTCCTTTCCGCTTACTTGCACGTGCATTTTGCTTTGCATGTTTTAATGGTGACGTTTTGGCGAATATTTCTTCAAACGCCTCTTAAACAAAGGAAAAACTTAAAATTGCCGCGTTTTGGCGTTGAAGTTTTTATAATCACACAAAGATGACGTTTTGGAAAGAAATAGTACATTTGTATTGTTTTTGCCGCAGCTTCATGAGTCCAGTATTCTCAAATTCACCTATGCGTTTCTACTTTTGAAGAGTGTATGTACACTCCATCAATAAAGAGTGAACTTATATATAGATAACAGATCTGAGACGAAAACCAGTGATGGGTTTTGTAAACAAAATCGCGAATTCCACAAAACTTTCGTTTCTTATCTAGAATTGAAAGCTCACTTTGGAAATTGATTGAGACTGCCATAAAAACTGACTGTCTCACGAAGAAAGTAATCCTGGATGTAACTTATGTCACATTTGACGACCTTCTGAAAGGCAATGTCTATTCAATTCAGTTCTTTATTTCGTTGGTGTAGTCCACTGGCTTAAAACAACATATGTGCACGTATATGTCACAGACGCTCGAAGAATATTTGATCAAATGTTGACATTCATGTTAATGTTCTATAGAGTGAGTGAGTGAGTTTAGTTTTACGCCGAACTCAGCAATATTACAGCTATATAACGGCGGTCTGTAAATGCTCGAGTCTGGTCTGTAAATAACCGAGTGTGAGTGAGTGAGTCAGTTGGGTTTAACGCTGCTTTCAGTCGGTCAGCTTAATGTGGGAGGAACACCCAAGTGATTCAGGTCTCAGACGGATGCCACTTTGGTGAATCCACAAGCACTGGTATGAGTGCTAATATACTAGAAATATACACAACCGAACCGTGATTCGAACACACGTATTTCTGACATGCATATATAACTCAACTCAGCACAGGGAATTAAGACATCGTGTTTGACTGGACTCCCCGTGCGCCTGATGTACATATTCTCGAATGGTGCTCTAATTATGAACTTGAACGGACTCGACATTAACGTGGCCTTGGGTCATGCATAAAACAATCCTGTTTAACACGCATTAGGACGTTCTTGTGAGACGTTACAATAATCTAACCTAACATCTTCCCAACCTTCGCCTAAACACCCCATGTCAACGTTACAAAATCTAATGATGACGATGAAGAAAAATCATTTCTTCGGACAGGAAATATTACTTGTTTTCTCAATTAGGCCTATGGTTCTCATTCGATAGAGAACCAACATTCTCCGCGTCACTTTATGCTTAATGGAACATAATTCTGAAAGACCGGTGCCCAAAATGGATGGTTAACGGCCTATAAAACATAACCATTCATTCTACCATGAATTTATAACAGAACAATGTCTTGATTCCTGATAAATAAAAGCTTCGCACAAAGTCCCTTTCCAGTTTTCAATAGATTTTGCTGTCTATATGTCGGATAGACCTGCGTGATCGTTAACATGTTTATAGTCTAATACAAACTTACCTGCGCAAACCAGGCATTCCAAAGTCAACAAATTTATCCACAGGTCATGTTTTCTGTTATCAGCCATGACACGAACGAATTTCAAAGCCATAACACACCCGCAGCCAGAGAGAGTGGCCAACAAAGACCGTCGCTGTCCGTGTCTGGCAGGTGAATGCAAGAGCGTCGCTTGACGACAAGCTGAATGTGAGCATGAGTTGATGATCAGTTGGGAATTGCTGTTGTTGTTTGCCTTAACGATTTATGTCGCGCTGCAGTTGGTCTTTCAAACTAACCAGAAAGTAACTGGCAAAAGGCATGACGGGCTTACATAACGATCGCACCCGTCGTATACATATACACCTGGACAAACGTTAAGAACCCCCTGATATAACGAGTTAGAACATATTACAATAATAATCAAACTGTATGGGAATAATGATTATGGCAAGAATGGTGTTCCATCGTGAGAATGTGACCGTTGATGCATGATGTTGACGTCAGAGCTGGCCGTGCCATGCACGTCAACTTGGCGACCACTACACAGTAATCAGTCGACTGGTGAGAACACATTCTGTAACCCATTCCGTTATGGACCTGCCACGACCAGGACGTCCCCCTGTGACAACACAGTGTAGGAACAGGGCACTACTGCGATTAGTTCGACGTCAGCCGTTTGCAACGAGCTCCTACCTGAAACGACAGTGGCTACCTAATCGTCGTCTTTCCGATAGAACCGTTAGAAATCGCTTAAGAGCTGTAGGCCTGAAGTCCAGAAGAGTAATCATACATACGGATGTCATCTAGAGACCTTATGCAATGTTTTTATGTAGCATGTGCAGAATTCCATAATGGCATGAACTCTGCAGCTCCATACTTAAAGGAGTATTGTTTTGAGGTGAAAATGGCACCCGTGGTTGCACAACAATATCATGAATTAAATATCATATCACCTCACTAAAGTAGTTGTTCCTTGTTGTCGGAGGGTGGTTCTTACAGATCACAATCGTTTAGCTCATGTCATTGTGTAGATTATTTCATGATAGTGGTTCTTACTTTCATCACTGAAAAATTATCAGGGAGAGCTTAACTATTTTCCAGGCGTATATATTAAGCTACGATTATAACGAAATCATAGGGGCCATTAATATTAGTTCGTTATAACAGTAGTTCGGTTTTGCATTTCTACTAAAATATATAGCAAGTGACAGGTGTAATAAAACCCAACAACAACCAATTCGTTATATTTGTATACTCTATAATTAAACATGAACTTATAATATAGAGAACAGGTCTGAGACGAAAACCATTGATGGGTTTTGTAAAACGAAATAAACAATTCACAAGACTCCTTTCTTTTTATATCTAGAATTGAAAACTCATTTTGATGAATAAAAAGTTTAATGGTAATTAATTCATTAAGAGCTTAAGATAGATATATGGTTTAAAATGTTTATGGTATGGTGCAGTTATTCTATTTCTAATTCATTCATTCCATTTTAATTTATTCATTTATTCATAGAATATATTCTTTACTGATTGTAGTTCAGACAATGATCTGGTTGTTCATTTGGTTTAATGCATATATGACCCGTTCTTATCTTAATGCTAAACATAAAATCCATTCACACCAGTATTGACCACTTCTAGAATTTGGAATGAAACGTGAGTAGCGTGTACGTCACCAACGTTGGATCATCCGCAAATTATATAACATTGGATCTTATGTTTAAATTGCTAATCGGAAAGTGGTCTATAATATTCGATTTCAATCAGAACAGAGAAAAGTGTATTCAAATTGATGGATACTGTCATCGTCAACCCGGCTGCCTTACGAAGAAAGTGCAATCCCCGATGTAATTTATGTTACATTTGACGATCTTCTGAAAGGCAATGTCTGTTCAGTTCAATTCAATTCTTTATTTCGTCGGTGCTCGCAACCGACTCCAAATTACATACGTTTACATATACATGTCAAAGACGAGTTTTACGGCAGATATTTAATCAACTATTGACATTCATGTTAATGTTCTATTGAGTGGCATAGCATGATAACTATACATTAATAGATTCTCATTTAGGGTACAGTTGTGGGTGACATAAGGATAGTAAACTAACAGTACAACCCAAAACGTATCCACCAAAGAGTAGGATAAGGACTGTTTTCATGTCAATATTTTAGTCATACCCTATACAATTAATCTTTGCCGCGGATCTTAAGATAGCAAAAAAAGTCTTCTTTTCTTGTAATGCTGCATTTTGAAAATGTCGAGACCATCATAAACTTTTGGAAGAAGTGACACCTAAAATATTTCTTTAAAAAAAACCACACACCAATTTCATGCCTTCATAAGATCAAGTGTCTTTACATGATAATATTCCACCTTTCTGAATGAGTACGCATCCCAATGTCTATTCATATCTGCCCGTGAAGATCCTGTTTAGAATTGGTCTTCAGTAACTCATGCTTGTCGTAAGAGGCGACTAACGGGATCGGGTGTTCAGGCTCGCTGACTTGGTTGACATAAGGTCATTGTATACCATTTGCGTAGATCGATGCTCATACTGTTGATCACTGGATTGTCTGGTCCACATTCGATTATTTAGAGGCCGCCGTCATATAGCTGGAATATTGCTGAGAGCGGCGTTAAACAACAATCAATCAATCATATCTGCTGGTTTATCAACATATATTTTGCCGTATTTGCTTGAGAGCAACACGTTCTACAGGGTAGGTACTTTGAAGCCTACACATAGATAATTGGTAAGAAAGACGACCTGGCAGCTGAAAATCGGCAAATTGAGAGATACCCGACGGGGAGCTGGACGATCATCCGTGGGCATCGGCTATGTTTTTGACATCGGAAGGACCTCGTTGACATACCGTGGACAAATCGGAAGAAATAACTCAATCATTTTCTTACGGCGACCGGTGGTCAACACCCCCATCAGTAACAGATCTGTGGCACATTTTCCGGCAACCCACGAGTGACCCTACAGGCACCTGCCAGACCGCCAGGGAATCGGACGATATTTTTTTCAGTGCGCTGGTGTGGTATGGTCACCGGAGGATAACATAAAGGTTGTCTGTCGGGAATCGATCAATACTCTGATTGTTCCCGTTCGTAGATCGTACGATTAAACTAAGTCGGAAGGTGACCAAGCATCGAGCAGGCGCCAAACGGGTATCATTCAGATACCGGGGATCTTGACATGCCTGGTCCGGGGTATAAATAATGGTCTGGATGGGTTGAGCAGCATAGGTCATCAGGATACCTGCCCCACAACACTGGCCCGGTTCCGTATGAGCCCCGACACCGTCAGAATGTCATTCAGTTGCAGGAAGAAGAGTGGAAGGCAAGACAAGAGCGGCATCTCCCCCCTTTTCTCCCCTTTTTCGAATTCGCAACCGCATCCTTTGCACTTCTACGTTCATGTTTGCTGAATTGTAGATTGTGAGGCATAACTTGCAGTCGAACACCAACTTTGACTGACCGGGCACTGAGCGGGCTCCTTTTCTTGCGAGCGGGAACCTGGCGACATTAATCCAGGCATCGACCGGCACATGTTCGGGAACCGAACGATTTGGTTTACATCGGAAGGATACCGTCCGGGTATCGGGAGATGACCGGCCGATTCCAGCCAGGTGACCCGTCAGTCAATTGACGATTTTAGCCTTCCATTGTTCCAAAAAACTTCAGATACCCTGGCAGCCACCTGTCAGTGGCTGGAAGGGTATCTTCCGATAGTCCTTGGTTTTGTGACTACTGCACCGATGTGACACGGATGTAGGCAAAACTCTGCCGCACGACGTAACATCGGTGAAACCCACCGTTGCCCCCGCATCTGCCGGCGACCTTTGAATAATTAGGTATACGTGACCTTGGCATAAGTGAGGAAAAGCCGAAGTGATTCAGGTCTCAGACAGTTACCATTTTGATGATATCCACGGGTATGGTGCTGACAAAACAGTTTTCAATAGTTTATTTTTTCTATATATCGAATAAACTACCTGACCACAAATGCGTTTATAGTCTAACAGAACCTTACCTGCAGAAACCAGGCATTCCAAAGTCAACAAATATATCCACAGGTCTTGTTTTCTGTTATCAGCCATTACCTGAAGCCAGAAACACTGGCAAACAAGACCGTTGCCGTCCGTGTCTGGCAGATGAATACAAGAGCGTCTCTTGACGACAATGTGAGCTTGAGTTGATCAGTTGGGAATTGTTGCTTGGTGTCTTTAACGATTTATGTCACGCTGCAGATAGTTGAAACATGTTTCTTTCAACCTAGGCAAAAAGTTATTGGTAAAGGCTTAACGGGCTAATAATACAGCCTAGTTATATATACACAAAGAACTTAGTTAAGCATCCCCTGACATCTCCGATTGAATGAGCTCCGATCTTAACCCTTTGGAGCATATCTGGGACATGATTGGTCGTCGTGTGCAAGAAAGCAATCCTCCTCTACAGAACCTGGCCCAATTGGAAGCTGCTTTACACCAGGACTGGCATAGGCTGCTCCTTTAGAAGATCAGGAGGCTGACAGGGGTATGAGGAGGAGAGTGTTTGCTGTCACTTGGAGGTTACACTCGGTATTAACCTTGAATCGTGTAAGACACGCAAAATGACATTTTGAATGTTCACATTCACCAATAAATTCAGCATTAAACATTCCAGGGCCATACTTGTACAGACATGGTTTTGTATAGAAATTAGTGTTTGTTTGTTTTTATTAAAATGAGCAATTATCATCATAAAATCAACATGGATTCCAATCAGTTTGTCGTTTTTCGTTATGAGTGAAAGGATCAAACGTGGTCACCACGAGTATGTACGTTTTGAAACTTTCATTGCAAAAATACAGGGGGTTCTTAATTAGGTTCTTTGTGTATGTTACAATAAACTAAAGCTGTAACGAGCTCATAATGACCCCTAATTTTAGATCGTAACAACCGTAGTTCGTTACACGCATTCCTACTAAATATATAGCAAGTGACCGACTGTCAAACCAAACCAAAAAATGGACAACAGAAAAACAACATCGTTACATCCGTCATTTCGTCATAAGCGTGTTTGTTTTGAGGCCCCGACAAAGGTGTATTGTGTGAGTTTTACTTAACTTTGTGTAACTTCTTTGAGTGGCATTGTAGAAGATGGGAAGTAAAATATAGACAAACTCTTTGGATTACTACTTCTTTATTTGGCGAGAGCGACGTTTCGATACAGATTCTTGTACGTTTGTCTAAATTTAACTGCGTGTGTCCTGAAATCGAATTTTATGTGTCTGATAAAGATGTTCTGAAAATGAAGCTCATTAATTTCACAGACAATCAATAGAGCAAATCTAACAGCGCAGCGAATGTAAAGGATAATATGTTTGTGGATTGTCTTGGGAAGCTTCATGTTCCTGAAGTGAAGGTTGGTGAACAATACACTCGCGTGAACGGTTATATATAAAGCAAAAATTGATGATTTTGCTGAAGGCTCGATTACAAGTGGTATATTACGCAAAACTGCAGAATATTTTCATCAATAACAAATAGTTCCACAACCAACGCCAGGCGATATTGCTCGTGTCAGGTATTGTTGAGAAAAATGTCGTTCCCCGATATATGGTCATCATTAAAAACAATAACAACTTTGCTGTTGAGCGGCTATGGGACATCATGTATAGATTACACAATGCGTTATGCGTTATGAATCTGGGCGGGATAAGTGCACGCAAGTGAACCCCTTTAGTTGTTGTTCAGTTTGACAGTTTGACAGCTGTGGGACACAGAGATCAGATTCCCTGGAACCAGTGGACCCGTGAAGATCTGGGTTAGAACTGGTCTTCAGTAACCAATACTTGTCGTAAGAGGCGACTAACGGGATCGGGTGGTCAGAGTCGCCGGCTTGGTTGACACATGTCATCGGTTCGCAATTGAGTAGATCGATGCTCATGCTGTTGATCACTGGATTGTCTGGTCCAGACTCGATTATTTACAGAACGCCGTCATCTAGCTGGAATATTGCGGAATGTGGCGTAAAACCTCACTCACTCACACCCACCCATCCACCCACTCACTCACTCACTCGCCAGTGGCAGTTCCGTTTCTTCAACGTCATGGCCCAGGATTGACATTCAAGCAGGATAATGCCAGCCCACACACCACCTGGGTTTCTGTGGCGTTTCTTCAACAGCACAATGTTCCAGTACTGACGTCACGTGTTAATTCACCAGATCTTTCCACTATAGAATTTGTGTGAGATGAAATGAGGCGACGTCTTCGCCAGATAACGTTTGTAAGAATCTGACAAGCCGTCCATGAATATTTGATAGACTCTATTCTGATAGACTGCTGTTCTCGCTGCTCGCGTGGGTATACCCGTTCTTAACTGTGTGACGTCGTTGCTTGATCCCTGCTTCGCATTTGGACTCGTAGTCAATGCCATGGACATTAAACATTCTTATGATCTCAATAGCAACCAATTAATATTTAAATGCAAACGTATTGTTGTTGTAGTTTCAAAGTTAGAAGAACATTAACAATGCCCCGTTTCATTTTGTGTGTACATGAAAGTGAAAGTTTTTTCTTCTCTGGTATGTTATACAACTTACTCATTACATGTACATGGTCAATTTTGAAAACCAGCAGTTGCTTCATTAATAAAATATGGATACACTGCTTAAGTGGCCGATTTTTTTTTAAAGGATTGAATACTTTATTTAAGGTCATGAAGACTGTATTTTGTCATGGGTCATACCACCAGAAGGAACTATATACATTTTGAAACATAGGTATGCTTCATCTCTTCTGTATTTTCAAACGGGTCATTCCACCAGAAGGAACTATACATTTTGAAACATAGGTATGCTTCATCTCTTCTGTATTTTCAAACAGACCGAGAATCTTTGTTTGGAGATATCCACATGGCAGTGATCTAATGTATGTACCTTTTTATGTTTTGATATTATTTTTGATACGTGTAACCCAGGTAATCGTGTATATTGCACGATTTCCGTTTCTCTATGTCACTGAATACGGCTTTACGCCGCATTTTAGAAGTATCATGCCGGAATCGCTACAAGTCAAAACATTGATAAAAAACAGTCTCGTTTCCTGCTGACTGGGTTCTGTCCTATTGCGCAACTTAGTACAATAACCAGTCCAGAATTTTGAGACCAATTCATTCAACTGGATATATATATATATATATATATATATATATATATGTGTGTGTGTGTGTGTGTGTGTGTGTGTGTGTGTGAATCAGTATTATTTGATATAACTAAGCTCTTGTATATTGCAACACTACGCTCCTTCTAATCCTTGCAGCGTGCTCTGTCGTACAACGTGCTTTCACAAACGGAAATCTAGAAATCGTGGAAATCTCAAAACGAGGCTCGGCCGTTAGAAAGGCTTGGCGGACTGGTACGGACTTGATATTATATCAATCACATTGTTCGTTACAGAAATACACTGAATAAGCGCAAAAAACACATAACAGGTGTAACCACTGTGCCAGATAAATTGTGAATCATATTTCGACCTCATCAAACAGGGGCAGTCTGTGACGTCTTAGTTAAGGCCATGCTGCCTAAACCTTGCCTTAAAATATAGAAATACGATTTTATTAAAGTTTAATATTAAAATTCATTTGTAAATACCATTTTCTTATGAAACAAGAAATTGGAATTCAGTGTAACCATAGTTGTTTGTAGTGTCTCTTTTCACTTTCACACGAGAAAATTCGGATCGGCTGAAAAGTAGGTCATTGTCTGAATTGGTTAATGAGACTCATGTTTCGGTTTGAAATGGTCTTCACGCAAAAGTCCCATGACGCTCTATGCATTAGGCTACCCCATCGCCCCTACGGTTACGAAATTCTCCAGTTATGTTCTATATGTCATGTTCTTTTCCTGCTATATGTTATTTATCCCCAATGAGAACGTCAGTATGCCAATACTAATCGCACTGTTCCTGACATGAACATGTTGTCAGGGTCTTAATTTAATACAGAAACTTAATCTTTCGTTGCCATTAGGAAATATGTTTAAGTATTTTCTGCTTAAATATTCAGGACCAGTTAATTTGAAACCAACAGAATTTCAGCAATGTTTCTTCAAAAATGAATGAAACCCGTAAAACAGTAAGACATTGGCATTCATTGACGTCTACGAAAAACTGACAGGGATGGCCTGTTGTTGTGTGAAGACGTGAATGAAATGTACTATTTATTTCGTGCTAATATCGAGAGTGTCATAGGTGACCAAATATCTCATACAAGGGAAAGGTAATATATATGCCTGCTTGGTGTTTTAGCAGTTGTATAATTTGGTGTGATGGTTTACCAATGTAGGGAATGGATATCTTGATGGAGGCTGAATCTGAAAGAACTTAAGTCTTCCGTTACCAATCGTGAAAACAAATCAGAAACTCTCACCATATCCAATCTAACCCTAATCACCATAAAAACTGCGTTGACATTAACATTCTTCCCAAGAACCAAACGGACTTCACCAAACGCTAATTCACCGAAGCCATTCACATCAAACGTCAAAAGGCCACCGAGATCCAGGTGCTTTGGATCCAGGCTGCTTCGTAATAGTCGCAGAGGGCGACCAGATCCGGCGTCACAGCCTGCTGTTTCACCTTAATGAAGGCTGGCCTGATATGAGCTGCGTCGAGGAATTGTAAACCCATCAGCTTCTTGACGAATCTAGAAAACAAATTATAAAAAATGTGAGGTATAATCATTATACTAATAAATGCAGACAATTTTTTTAACAATATCATCTGAAAGAGTGTAAACAGAAGGGGAAAAATGCAATATTCACCTGTGTGTTCCCAGTTCCTCTTCATAAGCCGTAGCCAGACCCAAGTTCTGCACCTTCCTATAAGGTGGCGCTGTCCTCCGCCTGTCTTGATATCGGCTTTCAGGAAGTCACTTGGTAGGAAGCGGGAGGAAATCTAAAAAAGAAAAACATTTGTGAAAATACATTTATTTAACATTATTTAAAATATACTGAATACTGAAAGCGAACACCATACACCTCAAAATCCAAGTCTTTGGGTTCGCTAGGACGATCACCCTGTCAGTGATAATTAATTTTCCGGGCTGCTTGGCTCA